TTGCGTCTAACCATGTAAGCTGATGATAACTAACTGCCAATCTAGTAATATGCTTAAATTCATAAAATCTAGTTACCAAATAAGAAAACTCATTAGAATTACTATGAAAATATTTATAGAAAAGGAACAGGGAAGTTACATTGTGGAGGTGGGAGTGAGTGAAGTAGAGATGCCAGGTCAGGACCAATAACAATGCAGATTCTTTGGAAAGTGTTACTTTCATGCTTTATATTCTAGACTTGTCTGATAAAAATCTATGAAAAAAACTTGTCAATTTTGCATTTAAAAGTTAAACTAATCTTTATTTTTTTTTGTTTTTTAAATTTCTCTTTTACTGTGAAATTATTTCTCATAATTCAACATTTTATTTTGAGAATGTAAAACAGTTGTAGTTTTCTTGTATGGCATTCAATCTTTTCTTTTTCTTGGTATAAAGTTGTGGATAAACTATGTCTGTAATACAAGACCTGATAAAATAATCGTTCATTTTCACCTTTTCAGCAGCCATTTAGCAAGAGATAGACTTCTTTCATTTGATTTTCGATAAAACACTTGCAGGCATTGTGAAGAGAACGAAAAGCACAAGACACAAGAAAAAAAAAAAAAAAAAAAAACAAAAATCAAATGTCAAGAATACGCACACACAAAAGAGGGAGGGGTAGATATACAATGCAGAAACATAGACATTCACCTATATACAAAGACAACACAAAAGGGAGAAGGAAAAAAAAGAAGCTACTTAGACGTGAATAAAAGTAAACTAACTATAATTTATAGAATTTGGTGGGGGGAATGTTTCTATCATGTTGATTAACAGCAAAAACAAGACTTCTTTTTTTGTTCTTTTAAAACTGGAAGTCACCACACAGCACAGAATCATAGACTGGCATTCTTTCTAGTATTTTATCTGCCACATCTTCCCTGGATTGGAGGCAGGCTTGCCTAGAAACCTGAATGCAACTTAATTATACCCTTTTCATGTATTCTAGTTATTTATAGAGGTTTAAAATAATACATCAATTCCTTTGTTAACAAAGGACTATTTTTGTTTTTAGCATCCCTTAAGTACAGGGCAGAGGGAGGGGGACATTTTTTTACCTGCATTTCAAATACATTCAATTATATGAACAAAATCAGAATTTAACAAGCTCACAAGTTATTTAAAATAAAACTATCTTTTAGTCATTCTTTTTATTAGCCGAGGGTACTGGAAAGACGACCGCCTTGGTTAGCCCCGTGTACGGGAAAGACGACCGCCTTGGTTAGCCCCGGGTACGGGAAAGACGACCGCTTAGCTGGCCAGATGCAGAAAAGAGCCGCCTTACAGCTGGCCCGCAATGGGAAAGACGACCGCCTTTGGTTAGCCCTGGTGCGGGAAAAGGGGAACGGAAAACGCATCGCTTTTGGTTAGCCCCGGGCGGAAAGACGACCGCCTTTGGCTAGCCCTGCACGGGAAAGACGACCTTTAGCTAGCCAGGCAGGGAAAGACGACCGCCTTGGCTAGCCCCGGGTACGGGAAAGACGACCACCTTGGCTAGCCCCGGGTACGGGAAAGTCAATTATCTTTGTTAACCCAGGGTACTGGAAAGTCAATCAAGTACCGCTTAAATAGACTGGTCCACTCAAAAAAAATAAGGAAACCATTTTAGGGGAAACAATTTTTGTAGATTAGAAATCTTTAGATATTCCTTAGAATCAAAAAATGATTTCTTATTGATTTGGGGGATCCTGTTTATAATATTGATACAGTGTCAATACATTTTTACCGAGTTATTGACATTAGTTATTTTGCATGCTAAGACAATTTTTTTTTTGTGGTGAGATTACAGAAGGATTTCTCTTAAATAACAAATAAAAAGATATAAACCTTTTTAAGTAACGAACAAACATTTACATAAATTAAAAAAAAAAAAAAATTATGTAGCTGTTTATTGATAAATAATTATGAACGTCAAATGTTTTTGCATACACTTCTGAAAAATATTCCATACAAAAAAAAAATAAATAAATTCAAAAAACTTTTAAGCAAAGCTTAAAAATTTTTTTTTAAAATATGCAGATATCAATGATGCTAGCACATTGTCAAATTTAACATTTGTAAATAACAATTAAGTGACTTAGTATTGTACAGTATTGATTTTTCTTTCCTAATCTTTTATTTGAAGTAGCATGGAATGTATAGGTGATACCCATTTTAACTATTGCTATTGTTTTAGTCCTAAAGTGATGTGGTTCCTGCTATCTGGTACAGTTCTTTGTGATTCTATAGTGTCAGTCCAACAATGTTTGAAAAAACATTGTCTTTGCCAAGACCTAGTTTTCATTTACTAAAAACTATTTTTAGCCATTGATCTTAGAAAATGGTTGTATAAAGCTGACTGTTTAGATATTTTCTGAACGGGTTTGATGCCATACATGATATCCATATGAAAGTCTCAACCTGACAAGGTTATTTAAGAACATGACTTGGGTTTTCAGGTTAATGTTTTGGTTATGTAATAATTTGCCATGTTGGACAAAACTACATCTAGCACAGCCTATTCCATGTTTAATTTCCTTATATCCTAGCCTAAATTAGTTATAACTGATCTATACACCATGATATTTGAAGCATCTAGTATTTACTAATTCCATATTATGAATTCGTATGATGGATTCAGGGTAGGCGCCATCACTGCTTTCATTCCAATTCCAGATCATTGTTTCTGTTTGCGAAAGGTTTGTTTTGAGTCCTATTTCTTGGAACACTTGTTAGAGGATATTGATTTTTGTCCAAGATCATTCTTATTCCATCTATGAATATCTATGTCATTAGCATAGCCACTCCCCCCTCATTACCAGTACATTGGCCTCAGGAGAGAAAGGAGGAAGACTGTCGTCTATTAATAGATTAATTTGGGATGTGGTATGAAATGCTTGAATAATCAGTGCCTATCTCCTCATATCTAAGCTTGTAAATACACAGAGCATAGACTGACACTTCTTCCTTGTACTCCTGGTGAGATTTGAAATATTTCCCTATTGAGGTCCTCACCAAACATGTAAGATTTTAGCTATTTACATCATTCAGACTATTGTCCTCATCTTTATTGATATATTCACACTGTTTGGGCCATTGTACTTCCAGCCTGCTTCCGGTGATATACATTTCAATTTCAAAACACTGGGGTAGATTGTTCTAATTCCACGTGCCATGCCTTTTTTTGGGGGATATCTCAGTTTCAGTTAATTCCCTTTAGTAACTCAACTCTCCAAGATCTTTTGTTCACTTTGCTGTGGCTAGGTATTGAACTCACAACTCTTTGGGTCAAGTCACTTTTTAGATTACTCAACCAACACTTATTCACTGGGCCATGTGCATAAAATTGGATTATATCACCTGAAGAAAGGTGGAGCATACAATGTGTGAAACATTGTGAATATGGCAATAATGATGAGGACAACAGTTAGAATGATGTGAACAGTCACAATACCTCATCTCAGAAATATAGACAGATGATGTAAGATTTTGTAGACCAATAAAGTTCCTCTATAATATCGATGCATTCAGTGAATTTGTAACTTGGAAGGCGGTTCCCAATGGATGAGAAAAGGAAGTCTCCATTGACGTGATCATATGCTGTTGTGAGGTCGACAATGCAGGTATACAGTTTCCGGTAAGCAATTTGATGACATATATGCCATCATTACATCCCTTACCAGAATGAAAACCAAAATTGGTCATGAGGAGATGATTTTCATAAAACTATGAGAGACAGAATAATATGATAATATTAATACTTTCACCATGATGGATCCAACTGAGATACCTCTCTACGTCTGAGAGTCTTTAGGGCTACCATTCTATTTCCAAAATATATTAATCATACTTATTATAAAACCCAGGTTGTGTGTGTGTGTGTGTGTGTGTGTGTGTGTGTGTGTGTGTGTGTCATTTATATATTTCCTACATTTTTCAACCGATTTCAACAAAACTTCACAGGACTATGTAAAATTACCTTGCGGTGTTTCTGACAGCACCAAAAATTGGAAAAACACAATTGTTTTTGCACAAAATCAATTGGAAAACATGATTAAGAGGCATCATTGTCACGAGAATGAAAGGGGGACAACTCATATCGAGTTATACTTATTATAAAACCCAGGTTGTTTGTGTGTGTGTGTGTGTGTGTGTGTTCGCTTATATATGGGATCAGATTTCCTACATTTTTCAACCGGTTTGAACAAAACTTCACTTTTTTTGGGGGCAGGTAGTGTTTCTTATTGTCTTGCACACTTTTTTTCTTTATTTTTACATTCAGAATGCTTTAAAAAAAGCACACACTGACAGATGAAATTTCTTAAAGCAACATTTTGATGATGTCTCTCCTTCAGAGCTTGACGAAGCTGATCCCTGTGCTTCAGTCTACTGTCTTCAAAATCCTTTAACTTAATGAAACATGTCTTACGCTACTCCTTTCGGTTTGATACTTGGGCTTCCCAGGTTTTCAGATAGAAGTTGAGACATTTCAAGATATCTTTCAATTAGTCCTTGTATCGTGTATTAATGAACAATAAACCACTATTACTATGGGGGAATGCATTTCTGATTCCAAAATTCCTTTATAAAACTGAGGACCTTGTTATTGAATTCAGGGAGAGGGTACAGTATTTTGAAAAGTTCAATAACTCTTCAAAGTCCTGGATCAATAATGTGGGGGAGTTGGTCATGCCCATGGCATGAGACAGCTTCATAAATTTTGCCCATGGCACCAGACTGTCATAAATTTTCCTATCAAAATGTCTCTTATATATGCATTAATGTAGTCTGTGTACAGGAGGGACTAAAAATGACAGACGATTGTGTAGAACACTTGGCAAAACGTGGTGCTACACCGAGAAACAATGTCTCACCTTGACTTTGATCCTAAGAAAAAATTTTAACTACTATTGTCATATTATAGTTAAATATTTACTTATGTTCATGATTCTATAAATGATTATTATTGGTACTTGACCTAAAATGCTATTGGTATGTGTATGTAATGCATATTAAACAAGAATATTATCAGATTGTGTAATATATCCTCATTTATTCTCATTCTTTATGTATCAATCCCCACATATCCCTATAAACTGTGCCTCTTAATCTGTAACCCTCTACCTTGTGTGGATCTTGGGCCTTGTACAGGGAGAACAGCAATGTTAAAAAAAAAAAAAAAAAAAATATTCGTAACATTTAAGGATAGGACATCTTTTAAGTGTTATCGGTAATGTCTCTTGGAAACCCCATAGATACAAAGCAGCACTGAATTTGCTAAATGCTATACATACATAGTCTGTTATTATCATGTAACTAAGATGTAGAATTTGCCTCTTAATCTGCTTGTTATGATTTATATTGGTCATTGGATAATGTTAAGATAAGCATTTAATATTATTTACCCCAAACAAGGCATTAATGTTGCTAAGACGCAAAGGGCTACTGGGAGTGAAAGAGAATGAACCAGGTGATAAAACTTGTTCAAAAAGACCAGGAGTAGTGTGAAACAGATGGTAGAAGAAAAAAAAATGTACATTTTCTTTCTTAATGTATTGGTCAATTTCTTTGTATTCTCAGCCCTTGACTCTGATATTAAGAAAAAATTCTTAACTACTATTGTCATATTATAGTTAAATATTTACTTATGTTCATGAAGCTATGATTATTATTAGTACTTGATTTAAAATGCTATTGGTGTGTGTATGTATCTAGTATGTACTTTTAACAGTTCTCTTACTCTGGATATGTTGTTTTTTTTTGTTTTTTTTTTGTTTTTTTTTTTTTTTTTACAAGGTATTATTTTAAATATATTTGTTAGGTTAATGACTGGATTGCAATCTGCTTTCTATGAAAGTGAACCAGAACCCTGTCTGACATTAAATGCTGGCACTGACTGTGTAGTTTACTATGATGCAGATGATGAATATTCAAACACTGAGAAATATAATTCTAAGGTCAATGAGGATTTCAACTGGTTTAGAGCCAGAGTCTTAGATGTTTTACATAACTGTTTATTAAAGGCAAGTCTATTGTTTTTAAGTCTATATCTATTTTTCTTTTTTTAATCAATTTACCCCAAATAAGGCATTAATGCCACTAAGACGCAAGAGGCTACTTGGAGTGAAAGAGAATAAGAATACTTTAGATGGAACTGGGATCCCCATCCTAAACAAGAAACAAGGGGTAAACCTCTACCCCCATTCAAATGACTGGGAAGGAGTGTGAACTGAATGTGGTTTTGAGTCTTTCTTGAAATGTATAATCTTTCTCTTGCAATGGTGTATGGGATTCCAACACTCCCTTTTTTAAGAGGACATTCCTATAACTTCCTATTAATTCTTGTAGGTATATATCTGAAGATCAGCTGGATTCTCTT